TAAAAGTGAGAAAATACTTTTCAATACTAGCTGGTGTAGAAATGGATAAAGGTATATAATATAATATAACCCCCCCCCCCTCTATGTAAGCTTATTTGCATATGTCGACGATCAAAGACCAATGTTTTTCGTTCTTTATTTGAGTAAGAGTTTTACGGCTCTTGCAACACAATAAGCTCATGTAAGTGCCGAAGATTAGAGGTGTTACAAGAGAGTGACAAAGACAAAAAACAGGAGAAATAAGTACGACACATTATGTTTGGTAGGAAAGAAGGAGCAAGCCACACCAGAGCACCCAACAGCCACTCACTTTTCCGTTCTTTTCAGACTAAGCACCAACCTCACTGTGAACCCCATATTATGGCAAACCTCGGTCAGTGCAGTAGGTCAGCATGAGCGAAATAGGACGAGGGGAGGGGGGGGGTTACATTGACCTGGACGGGTCCCCTGTGAGCAGGGAATTACAATAAATCGTCAGCTAGCTGATCAGATGCACCAGTACATGCACTAAGCCCAATTAAAAAATAAAGAAAAAAGATTATTTCGAAAAAAAAGAACGTGGATTGCAGGTGCTCATTAATAATATTTTGTTAAAAATTCAAATTTTAAATGTCGGACACCCCCCCCCCCCGAAAAAAAACAACCAGAAGAAAGATACATAATGAACATTGTAGATCTAGGTAAATTGTTAAAATAATAACTCGTTCCTTCCTCTTCTGTAGGCCTTCCGTTTGCTTTCTAGGCTAAATACTTTTTGAAAAGCTTGTCGACGAAATATTGTGCGTTCCCATCAACAGACTTTAGATCACTTATTTGGGTGGGTTACTTTTATCATCTTTGCCGAAGGTGCAACCAAGAAATGGAGGATGTTAAATATACGTTTGAATGTCCAGGAACAATGGCAATTCGAATGGAGTTATTTGGACGAGTGGAGGTGCCTCTTCTTTGTATAATGACAACGGAGCCGAAAAAGAGCCTCGCTCTTGCTCGAAGATTTCTTCGTGGAAACCACCAGGCCCATTAAGGAAACAAAAACAAAAAATCACCATCATCATCATGAGTATGTTATTATTATAATTACTATTATCATTATTATTATTACAGGTATATTATTATTATTATTATTATTATTATTATTATTATTATTATTATTATTATTATTATTATTATTATTATTATTATTATAGTAGTAGTAGTAGTTGTTGTTGTTGTTGTTGTTGTTTTTGTTGTTGTTGTTGTTGTTGTTGTTGTTGTTGTTGTTGTTGTTACGGGGCTCTCGTGGCCTAGAGGTTAAGGTGTTCGCCTCTCATTCAAAGGTCCCGGGTTCGAATCCGGGTAGCGAAAAAAAATTTTTCTTCTCTAAAATTTGTTTCCTTTCACCTTCTTTCCTTCTCTCTTGCAATATTCTGTCGCATGCTTTCGTCTCCACTATCCTCTCCCACCCCCTCACCTCCTTTGCCCGCTCCACTGGGCTCCTGACTCTATCTGCAGCCTTTCTATTGCTACTCCTTAGCTCCTTCTCATACTGCTGTCTTTCAGCCACTCTCCTGATCTTCTGGTAGGAAACATCTACACCTAGCCTTCTCGGATAATCTCGGAGGTCCTGAGTGCAAGTTGCGCTCGTTAAAGATCCCTTAGTGGTCTAAAATCGATAAGAGTAGGCTTCGGCCGCCACCCGGGCAAAATTCAAAATGTCCTACCAATTGAATATGTTTGGTGTGCCCCGAGCGCTCATATGACCTTATGCAGTTGCGAGCGCTGTAAAACACTTACCCCCCCCCCCCCCCCCCCCAAATGGTAATATTATTAATATAATATATTTTTTATTTATTATTTTTAAAAATACTACTTTTATTATTATACCCATCATTACATAACAATGATAATATTGAAACGATTATAGATAAAGACTGATAATGATACTGATGTTATTTACCAGCTTTCATTCTTGCAAATTCGTTATTTGCTATGTTTAGCTCCATGCCATCACGCCATGTTGGGGGATAAGAACTGGTCCGATAAAACTGATGCGACAAGTTGACCAAGAGAGAACCTACTTTAACTTTAAAGTTCAGTCTTTAGAATAGTAGGCTATAACGACATAATATTATCTCAAATGTGACACTCTCTTGTCGCTACTGACAAAACTTGAGTGGTCTAGAGAACACTGCTGTGATGCCTGTACGGACAATGATACCAGCATTGATTGCTGTGTGTGATACGCTTGAGTAGACCATTCTAATTTGATGATCTGGACCTTAATACGTGGGTGTGGGGGTGTTTTTGCTTTTAAAGTTTGTTCTTAGACTTTGTTTTTGCCAAAATTAAAACCAGATTGTTTTCTAACCTTTTGTGTTTTCTGTGTTGTTGCTACTGTAGACGATGCTAGTCGTTGCTGATGTTGTTCAACTTCGTCTATTGAAACCGAAGACATTCAGAGCACCACAGGTTAGGAAAGCAAAACTAGACAAATGGATCAAAGCTAACTTGCAGCCTTTGAAGAAACAACAATACGATCAAGATAACACTGCGTAAGATAACCTAAATAAATGTGGTCAACATACACGTCAATGTGCTTAATATAGCCTCCTCCAGAGATCCCATTGACCTAATTGGTGCTCGATCCTTGTGCGCCTACGGACGTGTGTGCCCACTTTTCGACAAATAGAGACAGCCAGTCGGTCACTCGAGCAGTATAATCACTTGTAAAAACGACAACCCTATTTTCTCCTTTACTTATTAATCACAGTATAATTACACTGTGCAGGATGGCACCCTGTCTAATTCGGCCACTTTTCTCTTGGACAAAGGGTGGCTGTCTTAGACAGTTTCGGCTATAATTTTAGAATCTTACTTGATCGTTACTTGATCCTGAGAACAACATCACAGCACCCCGAGCATTGCCATACGTGCTCCCCTCCCCGCTCCAATATATCCACCTCAGAGTCCATCTGCTGATCGTTCCCATGTTCATTTGGTTAATAACCCGTCTTTCCGTCCCCTGTACCATGCTGGTTCTGCCACTTCCTCTGAAGACACCCAGTTCTTCAAGTCGTAAGATTGGCGCATAGTCATTTTCAAGCTCCTCATCTTCCAGTGTGGCGGCAAAGGCCTTCACGACATCCTTTTTGTCCATTCTAATGTCAGTATTGACAGGTGCATGGCTAGCCAGTTTGTTTGCTTGTTCATTTCCTACAACACCCGTATGGCTTAGAGCATAGATCCACGTTATTCTTCTCAGTCTCATTTCTTCTGTTTTAGAATCTGAAGAGATGTACGTTAGCACACGTCCATATTATACGTATCTTTGTACTTTAGTTTGGTAAGAAGTACATGCAATTTGAGACACCCCCCCCAATCCCCCCGAGTCGGAATTGACTTGACCTACAACATGTACGCACAGCCAGGACAACAAAAATTGTGAGGCTACATCTGAGTCACTGTAGCGTCATTTTGTCAGAGACGCTTTTAATTTACTGTAAGAATTGGGAAGGGGGTAGGGGTGGGGTATTGAAAAGAGATAATCATAAACGCAACCGTTGATGAGGACTCTGTACGATACTTTCAAATCTCTAAAGCAGTGCAGGCTAAACTTTTTCTAGTACGCGTCCACTTTTGCCACCTTCAACTTCAAGAGACTGACATTTTCATACCGCCCACCTACCACTGCTTGTGTTTCCGACCGGGACATATGTGGGGCGTGCTGACAAAATGAGTTACTTCTCGCTATCCACAAATTTTAATGGAGATATATTGGTAAAAAAATCGACATTAGAGTCAGATTAGTAGATTTTCTATTGATGCCATATTATATTCTTAATGTATTCCATGTCTTTCATTATTTCATACTTATAAAAATTGTAAAAACTTCACCTATTTATAAGCGTGATGTGTCTATTTCTATAAGGTTTGAAACCGAGAAATAACTCATTTTGTCAGCACGCTTCACATATACAATGGAGTCCAAAAGAAACTTGAGAATGTATTCACCTAATCATGGTGTTAAACCCTTGCACCACCCATGTACGCAGCATACAAACTCATAGCTAAATACACTCGGCATCGTCTGACACATACTGTTTTTATATCTGTGGTAGGAGTCGCCAGAGATATGGTCACTGAAAAATTACCTTTAAAAATCACGCTTGGCTAAATTGTGGGAAAAAAAGCAAGTAAAAGTGTTTTTGTGCTTGTACTGAGGTGCATCAACATTGGTGGAATGGACATGTTTTTCATATTTAATGTCAGGATCATTTTTTAGTCGGCTATAAACGATATTTTATTACGACAGTTTGAAATAGATTGTAAAACAAAGCAGTCACAAATACCACTCAAAACTTGGACTTAACATCACATGTCTGTACTCATTAGTATTTTGTTTAGGAGATATTGATCTTATGAAGAACAAAACATTTTGGGAATGGACTGTGTTTAATTTTACACACAACTAGATCTATGTGTTATTTCATCCCAAATGCCACAGAAAAGTGGCATCACAAAGCGTCTGAACTGGGAGCAAACTCGCGTTTCTTCTGCTGCAGCTTCACGGGCTCCACATATATCGATAGGATTCATATCGGGGTTATTTACTGATGAACACTCCGTCGTTGGTTCGATTTGCTTTCTCAAGAATTGTGTAAAGGCGTTGGTCATGTGAGAAAGTGCTTTATTGTGCATAAAGATGTCTACCTGAATGACAACACGAAGATAATAAGAATACAAAGTGACGTTCCGACACTAAGACTTGCGCAATGTAGTCCTCGAAACGAAGCTTTCCGTTGATTCTCACAAGTTTGGTTTTGTTCATTCCAACCAGGCCACCCAAAACCATGGCAGCTTTGTGGTCTCTGTTCCTCAGTGACAGGCGATTATATCCTAAATCTAATCTAACTAACACAGTCCATGCTCAAAACGGTAGGTGCTCTACATAGAACTATAAAGGCTCGTAAACCATAATACTGAGCACATTGAGCAATTCCAACTTTTGCGTGATATTTGTGACAGCTATTTTTCCATCTGTCTGAAAACAAATCGTAATAAAACATTGTTCATTGCAGAGAGAATAATAATTCCCATTAGTTTGATATGCAATACGTGCCCATTCCACCGATGTTAATACACTCAAAACAAGCGCAAATACACTTTTAGTTGTTGAAAAAAAATTCAAACAATTTTGTCAAGTATGCTTTTTAAAGGTCAGTGTTGAGTGACCATATCTCGGGTAACTCCTGTCGTAGGTGAAAAATGAATGTGTCAGATGATGCAGAATTTATTTAGCTTTTAATTGGTATGCTGCATTAGCGGGTAGTGCAAGGCTTTAACACGTTGACTAGTTAAACACATCAAGCTTCTTAGAGACGCCACTGTATAATAATACTCCTGTACCTATCCGGGTGATCCCTTCTGCCCACCAAACTTACCAAATCAGCCATTAGCGGGCGACATCGCCCAGCAAGACAAAGACTGCTTTTTTGTTTTTGGTAATGTTTTAGGTCGCTCGCCCCTGCGTAAGGTCGTGTGAGCGCGTGGGACACTTTAATTGCCCGGGTGGCGGCTGAAGCCTACTCTATTGTAGGACACCAATCGATCTTTAACGTGCACACATGACCTTCAAGATTTGCCGCCTTTATCCGAGAAGGCTAGGTGTTAGATGTTACTAACTACTAACCATAAGATTAGGGGTGTGGCTGAAAGGGCAAAGGCTGCTCAAAAGGAAACCTACCTCCTGAGTTTAAACATAATACATTAATGTACACAAGCACAGAATTACATAAATGTCATACGATAAAACAAAACAGACTAAATTGTTACATATTTGAAAACTCGCCATGACATAATCATGCAGTCTTAATCAAAGAATGAAATCTTCGATAAGCTTTAAATGTCGACAGACTGCTAAGCAAGTTGCGATAACAAAGCTATTATTAGACACCAACTCGGCTAAATAACCGCAAATCACAATCTCACGTTAACGCACGAGTGACCTTTGTACGCAACGTGGAGAAACACTAATTGCTCTTGGCTGTGAAAGAAGACATAGGTCTTCTATTTTTAAAATTTGTTTTAGAAGCCTTAGGGACTTACGGCACTTGCAGCACATTCAGGTGATATATTAGATAAGTGCCGAAGATCAGAAGTGTTACGATAGAGTAGCACTCAAACACATATACACACACACACGCACGCGCGCGCGTGCATGCGCTCTCTCTTTCTCTCTCTCTCTCTTTCTCTCTCTCTCTCACACACACACACACACACGCACACGCACACACACATAAACACATCACACACGCATACATAAAAGAAGGAGGACGACAGATGTTTAACAGCAAAGAAGGAGCATACGGCACGAAAGCGCCGGTCAGCCTCCTGCGATATCGGTCTTTGGTCCAATTTAAAACATAAAAAAATAGAAAGAAAATTATAGCCACACATTTGAACCTGAAAAAGACGGGGAAAAAATGAAGAGTAAAAACACTACCCCCACCACACACACACACACCACATGCACCTCGCACACACAAAAAAAGAAGGAAAAGAAACCTCAAGATAGAGATATATAAAAGATTATACTACTACTCCAAGATCTATGACGAAAACGGTTCAAATCCCAGACTGGGCGTTCTTGATCTCGGGTCGTCGTGAGGAGCTTTTCAATTGCTCTCCACTTTTTCTGGCTCGATCCTACGAGACACGGATGTTAAAATCGGAGGTCCCGCCTCTTAAAAAACCCAATAGCGTTGACAGGGTTGTTAAACCAATACATTTACTTTTTACAGCGAGAGATAACGAGAGATGAAGAATGATAGAGAGAGATAGAGAAAGAGATATATGTATAGCTAGATAGACAGACAGAGAAAATGAGATAAAGATAATACATAAAAAGAGAGAGAGAGAGGGGGGAAGAGAGAGTGGGGGGGGGCAGATAGAGAGAGAGAGAGAGAGAGAGAGAGAGAGAGAGAGAGAGAGAGAGAGAGAGAGTTAGAGAGAGTTAGAGAGAGAGAGAGGAAGAGAGAGAGAGAGAGAGAGAGAGAGAGAGAGAGAGAGAGAGAGAGAGAGAGAGAGAGAGAGATCCCTGGAAAATAAAATAAAGTCCCGACTCACGTATCATTTGCTATACAGTCAACGGGTCTAATGTTTGTTTCTGCATAATCCAACATAACTTTTTTTTCCGAAGCGTTTTCGTTGGCTCTCTCTAGTCCTATTGCAAAGTGACGTTACAGAACTAACAGAGTGAACAGTGCCGTGCAAAGGGTTTTTTTGCATACGTTTGGATGTGTGTGTATGTGTGTGTGTGTGTGTGTGTGTGTGTGTGTGTGTGTGTGTGTGTGTGTGTGTGTGTGCGTGCGTGTGTGTGTGTGCGTGTGTAATAGCCTATATGTTTTTGTATAGCATTCTGTGTACTCTCTCTCTCTCTCTCTCTCTCTCTCTCTCTCTCTCTCTCTCTCTCTCTCTCTCTCTCTCTCTCCGTTGAGACAAATCACAGCAACTAGATTTGACGTCCATTTTATGGGAAATGTAATAACATTTTAATAATCTATAGTATCTTGATTAGATCTTGACAAGTGTTAGGTGAAGGCAAATTTTAAAAATCTTATTCCGGCTCTTCAAGTTCAAGACCGTATAAATTCAAGACTAAAACTGTTATTTTTCACTTGACCTGTGTGTCAAAACGAAATCTGTAAACACATTGGGCACAATATTTTTGATACATACATCATTTTTTTGGTAAGTGTTTTACGGCACTCACAGTGGTATAAGGTGAGATGTGCAGGACACATTAACCTTTTTCAATTTAGTAGGAATTCATTTCAAATTTTGCCCAGGGGTAGCCGGAGCCTACTCTTATCCATTTTAGGACCATTAAGGGATCTTTTAGTTTTAGCAAGAGTTTATCTCGCTCGCAACTGCATAAGCACGCGATACACGAGTTGGTTGCATTCACAACAATTCACTACACGGCTTCGTCCAGGTCAATGATCAGATTTAAAATGCTAAAATGCTAAAACCTTGGGGTAAAATAATAATCTAAAAACGATAAACTGATTAAAATCAAAACAGCTGTATTTACAATTTTCTCTAAAGGTCAATGGCCTTTATAAAATCAAGGATTCTGTTGGGACCAACGACGGAAAACAGATCTCGCAATTTTTTGCATTTAAAATATTTCCTTCCGGTCTGTCCGAAGTCAAGATATTCTGTTAACGTGTGTCTAATGCCGACACAGAACGGCTTCTCATCTCCCTTAAGGGGGTATTTATGTGTTTGGGGCGTGTGTCCGATGCGTAATCGAGTAAAAAAGATTAATTCGTCTGTTCTGGAGAGGCTCGAAGTTTTTCATGGACCATGTTTGGGCTCAACGTTGTGGAGTTGGTGGTTGGTTGGTTTTTGTCCAATGTTTCTCCAAAGACTATTGGTATTGTTCTTTACTTTATTTTTAAAGTCAGTCTGTGGGAGTGTGTTCTCGTCGTTGATCCAACAGAAGGGACAAGGTTTTCTTCGCCAGGAGGTCCACTTTCTCGTTTTCTTGGATGCCCCAAAGGCTAGGTAGCCAAGCGAACACGATATTTTTCCCCTTCTCAGTCAAAGCGTGTCTTTTTGTTGTAACCTAACTATTTAATTTTAGGGTGTAAGAGTGTGTAGTTTGTAAATGAGGAGATGCAAGACAGAGAGAAAGATTGGATATAATAAGGAAAGATTTGCTAGGGAAATGTTTTAGGGAGTCCAGTGTCATGTCAATGGCAGTGGCCTCCGCAGAGAAAATGGAGGTTTCGGGATGGAGTCTCCTCTGGCGTTTGAAAATAGGGCTGCGCACCCACAGCAGAATCCAATTTAAAGCCATCTGTGAAGATTAGCTCCGCACAGGGGTATTTTTCTATACATTTTGTTGTTGTATTCTGCTTGAAATGGTTTGGTGTTTGTGCGTGCTATTGGTGTGTGGTCAGCTGTAAGTCTACTTTTGCCTTGGTGAGGTGCCGCGGAGGGAGGTCGGGGAAAAGAAATTGTTGGATGCCTAGTTTGGAAAAGTGTATGTGTATGTTCCAAGGACTCTGAGGCCGAAAGGTTTGATGAGTTTTTCGTTGCTTTTGAATTTGTTTATGGTGTCTGGACTTGCTCTGAAAATACAGTTGTGTGCTGGGTTCTCTGGTGTTGAGTTATGTTTAACTGCGTATTGTATTGGGAGTTGTGTGCGTCTGAGTGTGAGTGATGGTATGTTTGTCTTGGCCTGGAAACTCTCCACTGGAGAATTGCGGAAAGCCCCCAGGGCGAGGCGGAGTCTTTGATTTTGTACTGGGTCTAGGATCTTAAGGACGTGGGGTTTTGACTTCCCATAGAGTTGACAGCCGTAATCAAGCCTTGATCGGATAAGGGAAATGTATAGGTGGAGAAAGTGTTTTGAGTCCCCGCTCCACTCCGGATGTGATAACATTTTTAAAGCATTTAAAGCTTTCTGGCACCTCACACGAAGGTCTTTCATGTGAGGCATGAATGTGAGTTTCTTGTCAAATATACTGCCGAGGAAACGAACCTGGTCCTGGACAGGAATCATTTCCCCGTATAGCGTCAAATCCGGCTGCAGTACACGTCTGCCTGATCGGCAGAAATGCACTGCAACCGTCTTCGACGGGCAAAACTTTAAACCGTCTTTATTTTCCGCCTTTTCAAGTTTGTGCAGCTGCATTGGCAGCTGCCTTTCGATAGATCTTAGTTGAGGATTTTTGGAACAGCAGCATATCAGGAAGTCGTCAACGTATAACGAGCTGTCTATGTTATTTTGGAGGGTCTTAACGATGGAATCTATTTCAATTTCGAATAGGAGAGGAGAAAGGATGCTTTACTGGGGAACACCTTCCTACTGTTGGTGAGGATCTGAAAGGGGGGGGGGGATTAGACACGAACATGTGGGGAACGGTTCTTCAGGAAATTGCCAATGAAAGCAGGGAGGTGACCGCGTATGCCGAGGGTGGGCAGGTCTTGAAGTATGCTGTACTTTCAGGTTGTGTCGAAGGCTTTTTCTAAGTAAAAAAAAGATGGCGATCATGTGGCCTCCTTCGGCAAACGTCTCGCGTATAAAGGTCTCCAGGCGGCCCCGGTGATCCAGAGTGGATCGTATTTTCCTGAATCCGCACTGGAGACCGCTCAGCGAGCCCGTCATCTCCAGACACACCTTGAGTCGCCTGTGAATCATTTTTTCTAGAATATATGTTTGCATAGACAGCTCGTTAGTGCTATTGGTCTGTAATTGGACGGGTGTGTGTGGTCTTTGTTAGGTTTGGGTATTGGAATGACAGTGGCGAGACGCCAAGACTCCGGAAAGGAGTGCGACCGCCACATGTTATTATATGTCTAGTATAAGTGTAAGTGTTTCTGTGGGTAAGTGTCTAATGATCTGGTTGATGATTTCATCCGGATACGGGACTGTATTGCCCAGGTTCGAGATGCATGATGTCAGTTCGTCTAACATGAAGTCTGCATTGTAAGTTTCAGTGTTGTTTGAGTGGAAGTTCAGGTGTTGTTTTTCTCTGTTAGTTTTTATGTTTTGGAAGGTGGTGTTGTAGTTTGCTTTGGATGAGTTTTTGGAGAGAGATGTAGCCTAACTGTGTTAGAGATGTCTACCTGTTTCAGTTGTGGTTCCGTCCGGCCTCTGAACATGCCTTATGGTGTCTGTGCGTCTACCCAAATATTTTTTTAGCGATTTTGAAAACTTGGTGGAGTGGTGTCTGACTGCTGATTTTAGAAAAGTATTTTCTGAAGGATTGTCTTTTGCTCTCCCTGAGGCATCTAGTATTCTACGTGCCTCAGCTCGAGCTTATAAGTAATTAATTTTGTTTACTGTGGTGGTGTTGTTGACGGCTCTCCGATATGCTGCTTTCTTTTTCTTTACTACTGCATCATCACACTCCTCAGAGAACAAGATCTTGTTCTTCCAGGGTTTTGGAGATTTTTAGGTAGGCCTATGTATTTGTGACATATTTCTAGAAGCGTTTCATTTTGGTTGTAGCTGAGGTAGAAAGTGGGGTTCAAAATCTGGGAACATTCAATGGCGAACCCGTCCAAGTGTGCTTTAAAAAAAAAATTGAAGCATTCTGGGATCGAGTCGTTTTGGAGGCTATTGTTTTTTAAAAGAATTCGGAAATGGTCCTTTTGGTCATGCAGCAAAAACAACTCAAGATCTGGGACTAGGTCAGGGGTACAAAAAGTGAGGTCAAGGGGTGAAATTACAAAAGCGGGTCTGTTTCTGTAAGTGGGGGACCTATCATTTAAGAGGCAGATGTTATTATGAAAGAAACAATCTTCTATTATTTTTCCTTTCTGGTCTGTGGGGTTTGTCCCCCCAAAGGAGACTGTGGGCATTAAAACCACCTAACAAAATAAAGGGTTTTGGGAGCTGGAGCTTTAAATCATTTAGTTGAGTTATTTTGAAGAGTCAGGAGCCCACTGGAGGAGGCAAAAGGGGGGAGTGGTGGCAGAAAGTGGAGACGAAAGCAGGCAACAGAACATGGTTAGAGCAGACAGTATGATCCACTGCTGAACAACTGAAGTATTGGTGACGAAAAATTTTAGAACAGGATTATTTTCGCCTTTAAAAGAAAATAATATAGGTGTTTTTACAAACACATCAACACAAGAGATCATTTAGGAGGCAGGTTTCAGACCCTGCCTGCTAGAGCCAACCCAGCAGAAACACCAAGATACTCGATAAAACTTCTCCCAATTTCTCCATTTGGGAATTGAACTTGGGTGTCCTGCATGCGACAGTGAAGCGCCTAACTGCTACACCACAGATGCCGGTTTCTTGTCTCTATGAGATTGTATGTTGTTTTGTATGCAACAAACAAAAAGCGGTGACTGTGAGAGAATTCCAGGATTTCTTTTTGCTGTAAATACCACAATGGTCTTAATAAATTGGAGACTCTAGGGAAAGAACTAAAAGATGAACTCCATTTTGTTATTATATAAAACAATAAAATTTTATTCAACATGTTCAGATTGGTATAACATTTTCCTAAAATATATGATAAAAATAGCAATGTTATAGCAAAAAAATTAATAAAAATGGAATAAATATTGTAACTTGTAGGCATAGTCTATACATGTATGCATATATTATATTTGTATTATATCAAAAAGCTATATTTTTACAAACAAATAGAATTATCTTCGCATTGGCAACAATGATTACAATAAAACAACCCTCTTTATACACAGTTAGAAAGAATATTAAACAGGTTCACCAGGGGTAGTTAAATATAAAATAGAAAAAAAAACTGGGCATTGAAATGAAATATGTCCTTATCATAAAAGAGTATACAATGTGAACACAAAACAAGGAAAATTAATCAATTTTAAATCTCTTTCATTGCTTCAATAACTGCAGTTCTCACAAATTCCCCTCCACCCCCCACCCCCTCCTTTCCTCTGAAAATTAATGTCTTTACTTCACATTTCCAAAACAACGCAGTTTGTCACAAAAATCTCTAAAGATGTATTCTAAGACAACACATTGAAGCTGAAGCCAAAAAAGCACGAAATTTACAAAATAAAACATAATTTCAGGCAAAAATTACAATAAGTCTCTAATCTACCTTCTCTTTAAATAGCATTGCAGAAAAACGGCAGAATGTTTTTGCAACACATGATCTTGAGTTTGCAAACTCTTTACAAAAAAAATTAGGGCAAACTATGAGATGTAACAGATGACTTATCATAGCAAGTCAATTTCAGTGAAATCACATGCAGTTGAGGGGGGGGGGGGGCAATTGTGTAATGAATGAGCAATGACATGAGAATTTTGTTATAACGTTAGCCAGCCGTTCAGATGTACTTAGCCTAAAATGTTAAAAATAATTTTTATTGCAGTTTCTTCAATTCGTATCATTATATCAGTTGCATATATCCGTTAATTATTTGTTCGAAACTCAAGTTCTAAATTTTGAGAAAAAAAAAGCTAGAAAAGATACATGATACAAGTGCAGTTTACAAAAGAATTGAAAAGTTTTTTTTCTCTCTTTTAAAATAAATCGCTCTCTTGACTTAGGACATTTGAACAGCTAGCTGATGATATCCAACATGGAAGAAACAGTGTCCTTCCTCAAGTGTTGTGGCTCCTGAGGTAGGTTGTCTGCCCTCTGATTAGGCACCTGAAGAAGTGGAACATTTTCTTAGGTAAGTGACAGGTGACTCAATGTACACTTGGTTTGGGATGTGGGGGTGGGGGTGCGTATGAGTGTGTATGTGTGTATATGCGTGTGTGTGTGTATGTGCGTGTGTGTGTATGTGCGTGTGTGTGTATGAGTGTGTGTGTGTGTGTCTCTTTGTGTGTGTGTGTGTCTCTGTGTCTGTGTGTGTGTGTGTGTCTGTGTGTGTGTGTCTGTGTGTGTCTCTTTGTGTATGTGTGTGTGGGTGTGTGTGCATATGTGTGTGTCTCTTTGTGTGTGTGTGTGTGTGTGTGTGTGTTCATACATGGTTGGGGGAAAAGTTATAGGATTTTAGAAAGGGTGTTGAAGGTCAGAGGGAAGATCAGAGGGGGGGGGGAGGAGCACATATAAAGCAATGTGGTCTTATGACCATGACAGCAACTCATGAATATCAGAGTACTTAATGTACGTGTGCGTGTGGGTGGGTGCGTGCGTGTGTGTGTGCATGTGTGAATGTGCGTGTGTATGTGACTTTTTCAGTGCGTACATGAGCAAGGCTTGATTTTCACCTCATGTTTTACAGCACTTTCCACACAATTTGGTCATACGAGTGCCAAAGATTAGAAGCACTACAAAAGGGTAACAAACTCAAGTAAGGAACAAAAGAAAATAGGGTAATAATAGTTATTTGAAAGGTGGAATGATAAGGAATAAGGACATTAGCATGTTTGCAAGGAAAGAAGGGGAAAAAACCACATTGGAGCACCTGTTAACCTTTTTTTTTTTCTTTTTTTTTTCTCCCTTGCCCATTTATATGAGATTGACGCCATCTAGTATCTGATTAGTAGAAAAAAGTGCATATGATTGTGTCCAATAGTGTATTACATGCATACTTAGTATATCAATTAACTGTTATAGCGGATAGAGATTCCAGGATTATATATGTAAGTCATTGATCTGAGAGAGGTGATGATTTTAGCATTAATAGTGGTGATGAGTGATGATGAGGGATTTCGTTTAAGTAATGTTAGCGTTAGTCCTATCTTCCTCTGCTCCAATGAGTCACGAGGGACGTGGGCACCCTCTATCCCGTTCCCTACTGGAACCATCTTTACGGTCACCATGAAGTTCCGAAATGGTGGGGAGCACCTGCTAACCAGTAACAGGAAACATTTGAGCTATGTTAAGCTTTAGTCTTAGTAGAGGTTTTACGGCGCTCGCAACTGCATAAGGTCATATGAGCCCCAGAAGATTAGAGGTGTTACAAGAAAGTAACAAACATAAAAAAGAAGAAGGGGAGATAAGGATGATAGATGTTTCATAGGAAAGAAGAAGCAAACCTCACCAGAGCACCCGCCAACCACCTACTTTTGAGATAATATGTGGGACAAGCAGAATTTATACACATACACACACATTCACACGCAGACATACACACACACACACATAACCACATCAACTGAAGTCTATAACTCACCTTCATATTTCTTGTAATTGTCTTCCTTATGTCTCCACAAAAGTACACCGATAATGATGAGGATCATTATGAAAAAGGCAATAGCAGCTCCAATGCCAATTGCAATGTACAAATCGTTATCTGCTGTGTTAGAAAAGATAAAGAAACATAGTTATGGATTGTTACAGAATTAAAGCATTACAAATAGAATTGACAAGAATTCAGAACATATAAATGATGTTTACAGCAGCTCAAACCACAATAATAATTATTCACCAATAATAGCAGCAGCAGCACTATAAAACAACAGGGCTCCACTATGCCATGGCCTACAAAACTTTCTTTCAATACTTCTTTTGCTTTTTTTGACAATTTTATCAACACCCCCCCCCCCCCCCCCCCCTCCTCCCGTCCTTTTCCATTCTCTTGGCATAGAAAGGCCAGAGATTGAACATATTAAAAGTGGAGAAGATTTCATCATTTGCTTTGTTTGACAGAATGTTCATCTACATCATAAATGTATACTGAGAGTCTACTGAAAAATGAATTTCCACAAAGACAAATATCATGATTTTTGGGGTCTTTTTCTCCTCTTCAGTTTACATGCAGGAAGAGCTGGACATAGATGGAAAGGATCTAAAAGAATTATTAGGAATTTGTAATGGGACCATAATGCTGCTGTAATATTTGATGGAGAGTACAGTGAACAAATAGATCAACAGAAGAGTTAGGTAAAGATCCGATGCACCATGTCACCAGACCTCTTCAACATGTGGGGTGTGCTGACAGAATGAGTTACTTCTTGGAGTTAAGCCTTATACAAATTGATACATCAACTTTATAGGTAGAGTTTGTACAATTTGTACGTATATATACTAATAAAAGACACGGTAGACTTAGAAAGTGGATTCAACTGAAAATCTATAAATCTGATCCCTGTGTCGATTTTCAGCCGATATCTCCAGTTTTGGGTTGCAAGAAATAACCCATTTTGTCAGAACGCCTCACATATTGTTACACAAATACAATAGCTACAAACAGTTTCAATAAAATGTGTCCAATCCTAGGAAGAAAAACAAAACAGTCTCAACCACTACCAGAATAAAAGTTCTAAAAGTTTTAGGTCAAGTGTGGTCAACCCTTCTATACGGATGTGAATGTAGGACAATTATCAAAGACTGAGAAAATAAAATAAATGTATTATAAAATTTGGTTTCTTTGGAGAAGAATATAAACAATTAGATAGACACAAAATGTGCTCTCTGTGACATTTGAATTGACAAATAAACACCTTGAACAACTTGGAAATTCTTAACCAATGGGAGACTGGGAAAGTCCAGGATTACAATATAAGTTTTCATTAAGTTTTACAAACGGCATCCAAGCAAATTAACGAGATGAAAGGTGAAACGTGATTGTCGATGTCTTCAGATTGGGTACTTTATGATGATGAGTTTACATGGACAAGAAAAAACAATATTACAATGAGAATAAAAGAAACTCACCATCATTCTTTTTCCTGGAGAAAAACAAAACAAAACACAATAATATAGAATGGGCGCTATAATGTGAATGTTAACTTAATGTAAAATCTTTAAGATCAGAGTAGGTATATTTTTACACCCTTTTCAACTTTTAAATAAAATTCTAAAAATGGGATCTATTTTTCATGATATTCATTTTCCGTGGGATGAGGTGTGAATCTCTGACCCAGAGAGGAGAACTAACTTAGCAACTTATGCAGCCAGAATAGAAAAACACTTAGCAAATGACTGCCTGTGATATGACTTCTTTAATATTCCAGTTGAGAGCTGCTAAACCGTATAGTCTGCTACTTTACCAACAAACATGTATTAACAATAAAGACTATGATAAGATTCGAGGCTTCCTGCTTAGACAACAATCTTTAAAAAGTAGTTCTCTATTTGTCAGAAGTACAGAAGTCTTTCAGTTCTAAAATAATTGTAGCACTGCCAAGCATTTCAAGCTGTCTAAAACCACTTAGGAACTTGTGTAGATATTAAAATGACGAGTGAATGCTTTTTTCAATATTTGCCTTTTCACAGATAGCTGTTTCTCATTCTCAAAATTCAAAACAAAAAGGAAATTAATACATTGTTTATTTAGCATGCTTGGATCTATATTATAAACTTTAAAAAAAAATTATTTAAGTGAATGTTTCAGTTGAATGCTTATGTCAATAGAATTATTTACATGCAAAAATCTTAACAATGCTATGGATTTAAAAGTTTTGAGACTTTTATTAGACTTTCAGCAACAATTGAAAATTTTACAGTAATGTCAGTAAAGTTGTCCTAGAGCTGAAAATGTTTCTGCCTTACATTCCATATAGAGTAAAAATGAACAATAATAAGATACACCCACCTTGAACAATATGACACCTGGTTTCTGTCGACAAAACAAGTCCTACCAGGTCCACATGATGCTACTGATGTTCGTTTTTCACACTGAGACAAGTTACTTGTTAATTCTGTAGAAAATAATAGATAAAGAAATAAACAACAGAAAAGTCTTGTCTTTGTTGAAAATTAATAGAAATGGATAATCAACATCAGACAAGCAAAGATTTTGTCAGTTGAAAATGACAGATAAATATAACATCAGACAAGCGTGTGGAGATCTTGTCTTTTATTCTTATGTTCCACGTAATGTTTATATCTTCTTTCTTCTTCTATCCCGTGGTTGGGGCAACCGTGGGGGCACCACTGCATCTGACAACCAGCTCTCGTCATTTCTCTTTGTCCTCTGCTTTCCTCAGATTGTCACCCATCATCTTTCCTGTCCACTCTGTAATGTTGTCCTCCCATCTCCTTCTCTGCCTTCCTCTCTTTCTCTTTCCTTGTACAGTTCCTTGTAGGATTGTTTTGGCAAGTCCTGTGGATCTCGTGACATGCCCATACAATTTTAATTTTCGTCTTTTCACTGTGGTCAGTAGATCTTCCTTTTTCCCCACTGCGTTGGTGATTTTGTTCCTTAGCTGAGCATTTGAAATGTGGTCTTTGTATGAGATGTCAAGGAGTTTACGGTAACATCTCATCTCTGTTGTCTGAATCCTTTTCTCCAATTCTGCTGCCAGTGTCCACGACTCGCATGCGTATAAAAATGTTGAGATGACCAGTGAGCGCATTAGTCTGATTTTCGAGTTGGGCGTGATGTTTCTGTCCTTCCAAATAGGCTTCAGTTTAAACAGCACAGCTGTTGTTTGCGCGATTCTGGAGAGAATTTCTGGTCTTCAGCCTTCATCTGAGACGACTGATCCAAGGTATTTGAAGCTGCTGACGGTCTCAAGTTTCTCGCCCCTGACTTTGATGTCCGCGTTGATGCCAGTGGTGTTATTGGTCATTAGCTTGGTTTTCTCGGCACTGATCTCCATGCCATAGGCCGCTGAGGTTGTGTCCAGCCACTCCACTTGTGTGGCGAGCTCCTGTTCTTCTCCTGCTAATGCTAATCCATCGATGTCATCGGCAAAACGCAAGTTTGTGATTGTGATTTAATGATTATATAACCTAAATAAAACTAGAACTATCTGATGATTATGACAATGGGATGATCCTTTTCAGTTTAACATCCATTTTACCTGGGACTGGCAAATGTAGTTCATGGACCACACTTGCTTTGTCAAGAAAGACTGACCAGCCACATAGACGTGAAATGGGACACAACCTTAAATACATGTACTGCTTGACTAATGAAGCCCTGATCATGGTAGAAGTGACATAAAAATAATATTAAAGGCTGCTTTCTTTCTTTCGCTACAGTTTTAAATAAGAGTATCACTGCACTTGCAACACAAATAGGTCATATAAGTGCTGCAGGTTAGAGGTTTTTACAAATGTAAAACAAAGAGGTCATATAAGTGCATAAGTTTAGAGGTGATATAAGAGGGTAACGTACAGAGAAAAGAAGGAGGAAAGATGCGGATGATTGCTGTTTGACAGGAAAGAGGAGTAAACTATACCAGATCTCCCATCAACCAACCTCCTGTCTTTCTTTTCATGTACATAACATGGACGACAGCCGCTCTTTCCATGAACAACTTTTATAAATATGTCATTAACCCCCTCTGTACGTCGTGTACTACTATCGTATCCATACGAAGTTGGGAACTCTGTTCCCCCACTTTCCAAAGAGGAAATTTACTCATTAATCTGAATCGTACGCTTGGCGTAGCAGTCTGTCAAAATTATTTTTTGAGAAATACTGAAAGTTTCAAAGAGATCTTTGCACTAAAAGTATTCTAAAATGTGAAGAATACAACCCTGGGGGTACAAAATGACACCAGGGCGTATGGATACGGTTAAGAAGTGACCACAGTCGTTTATGATAAAAGTGGTATTGATTGACAAAATGGGATAAGCAGCTGATTAGAAAGGATGAAAACAATTCTAAATAGTGACTAATGCCATTTCCTATCAAACAACTACCGTACTAATTATCTGTCCACCTTTTCTTTTTTGCCTTTGTTTCTCTCTTGTAACAAAAAAATAACATTTTCTTGAGTCGACTGTAGTCATAAACTGAACACAATAAGGAAAGCTTGATTCATTTCAATAGGAACTGAAAATGATGAATATTCAGTATTTGTTTGAACTACAATTTGGTCCTTGGATGGGCCTCAATCTATCCCACATACCAAGGGCAAAACTTGTTGTGCAGATATTTGGATCATTTTTACACACACACACACAAACACATGTATAGCAGTGTCATGAAGCAAAAATCAAGATAATAAGGACCAACCTGTATTTCCAAGTTTAACAGTTTTAGGGCGCTCAGTATCAGTTCCATTGATTGCTGTCTTTATGTCAAGCAGACTCATATCAGTCAAGGCCCTGATGAGTTCACCCTCTGGGTTGTCATTCAGCGAGGGGTTTATGTCCACTTCAAACTCAATAATCAAACTTCCCTGCCTGGAACAAGAAAGACAGATGCACCTAGATAACAGATCTAAATTTATTTCCTTTTCATTTATTCTTTAAGTTAAAAAAAAAATGATTTAACTCAATCCTTTCATTCTTTTTTTCACAATCTGATCATATGTTTACCTTTTTGTACACTTCTGTTTAACACACTGCAGATCATTCTTACATATCCACATTTACCTTTGATGAGTTTGGTACTGAAAAGAAACTTTAAAAAAATAAAGCATTATCAAAAGCACTATATTCAACTTCAGTCCTAAGTGATTGTTAACAAAACTGTTGGATCATTATCACCATAATCATTGGCTTGACAGTCTAACCCAACTCCGTTTCATCTGTTGTCCTTATCTGTACTCTTTCTTTTTTGTGTTTGTTACTCCCTTGAAGCACCTCTAGGTCATAACATTCAACATTAATAGTCGGCAAAGAGGAAGGAAGTGTTGTGTGAGCGAGGATCGCTCGGGCTGGAATGTGGCCACCTGTGTAGTAGTCCATATCTGGTAGGGCAGTACCTTAGAATTGGACAGACGTTTTTGTTTCCAACCTGAGAGTGGTGTCAGTTCAAAGTCAGTGTTGGGCAATCTGTGCGCGTGCTTGTTGGTCAGCCGGGAGACCGAGGGTGTCAGAAGTTAGGGTACTTGGGTGGTGGAGCACACTGAACCTGTTCCCCCTTCTCGAGGTGACCCGGTTAAGCCTAGACATCGCGGTCCAGGAACAGAAAACGAATGATCTAAAGGAGACAACCTTGATAAAAAAATCCCGAAGCCTAAGGAGGTCGAGGGTGGAATCCAGGAGCACGACCTGTCGACAGCACCCCCAAGTATCCGTGGAGGACATGGACTCAAGCTTACGGTGTCATCTTCGTGCCTAGAAGCGACATGGCTGTGGGGAGTACAGTCACGAACGAGGACCGTCTGGTGTGCGAACGGGGCGGCACCAGGCGGACCTACCTTCTGGTTCCCAGCCCCTTGTCTAGAATGAGGCTCTGCTAGATGGACAGGATACTTCCTCAGTACTTTGCAAAGATTTTAGTTTAGTATAAGGTTTTACGGCGCTCGCAACTGCATAAGGTCATATGAGCGCACAAAACACAAGTTGGTTGCATTCACAACAGTTCACTGCACGGTTGGTCAACTATTAGACTATAAAATGCTAAAATATTTAAAATTCTGTGTAAATATATTTAAAACGACTCTTATAAATAACAATAAAAATTTAAAAAAATATTGTTTCACTTTACAATTTGCCATAAAGGCCAATGGCCTTCATAAAATTAAAAATTCTGCGGACCGAAGACGGAAAAAATGTCATGCAATTTCTTGCATTTATAATATTTCCTTCAGATCTCTCCAAAGTCTAGACATTCGGTTAAGATGTGTCTAATGGTAAAATCTGTGTCGCATCCGACACAGAACAGCTTCTCATCTCCCAGTAGGAGGTATTTGTGGGTCAGGGCCGTGTGTCTGATGCGCAATCGAGTAAAAATGACTTCGTCTCTTCTGGAGAGGTCCGAAGGATTTCGTTGTTTCAGTTTGGGTTTTATAATATACAGTTTATTGTTTTTCTGTTTTTCCCAGTGGCTCTCCCACAGACTATTTTATTTCTAAAGTCAGTCTGTGGGAGAGTGTTTGTCGTTGAGCCCAGCAAAAGGGATGAGGCTTTCTTCGCCAGGTCGTCTACCTGCTCGTTTCCTCGGATGCCCACATGGCTGGGTATCCATGCGAACATGATGTTCCTGTCTCGGATAGTGTGTGAATTTTCCGTTGTAGCCTAACTATTTTTGCATGTAGGAGTGTGTAGTTTGTGAGTGAGGTGATGCAAGACAGAGAGTCAGAAAGGATAAGGAAAGATTTGTTAGGAGAATTTTCTACGGAGTCCAGTGCCATGTCAATGGCAGTGGCCTCTGCAGAGAAAATGGAGGCTTCAGGATAGAGCCTCCTCTGGTGTGTACTGTTGGGAGATAAGGCTGTGGCGCCCTCTTCATTGTCTTTTTTGGAGCCATCCATGAAGATGAGCTCCGCAACGGGGTATTTATCTATTAGTTTTTTGTATTCTGCTTTAAATGTTTTGGTGTTTGTGCTTTCTTTGTTGTGTGTGGTCAGCTGTAAGTCTACTTTTGCTTTGGTGAGGTGCCACGGAGGGAGGTCGGGGAAAAGAATTTGTTGGATGTCTTGTTTGGAAAAGTGTAAGTTTTTGAGGTCCTCAAGGATTCTGAGGCCGAAGGGTTTGATGAGTTTTTCGTTGTTTTGGAATTTGTTTATGAATTCTGGGTTTGTTTTAAAAATGCAGTTGTTCGCTGGATTTTCAGGTGTTAAGCTCTGTTTAATTGCATATTGTAGTGAGAGTTGTGTGCATCTGAGTGAGAGTGGTGGTATGTTTGCCTCCACCTGGAGGCTCTCCACCGGGGAAGTGCGGAAAGCTCCCAGAGCGAGGCGGAGTCCTTGGTTTTGTACTGGGTCTAGCATTTTCAGGATGTGAGGTTTTGCCGATCTATAGACTTGACAGCCGTAGTCAAGCCTGGACCGGACAAGGGAAATGTACAAGAGGAGAAGGTGTTTTGAGTCCCCGTCCCACTCCGGATGCGATAGAATTTTCAAAGCGTTTAGCGCTTTCTGGCACATCACACGAAGGTCTTTGATGTGTGGTATGAATGTGAGTTTTTTGTCGAATATAATGCCGAGGAAACGAGCTTGGTCCTGGACGGGAATCCTTCTGCCTGTTCGGCAGAAGTGTACTGCAACCGTCTTTGACGGGGAGAACTTGAAACCGTTATTGTTTGCCCACTTTTCGAGTGTTTGCAGCTGCCTTTCCATAGATCTCAGATGAGGATTTTTCGAACGGCAGCATATCAAAAAGTCGTCAACATATAACGAGCTGTCTATGCTATTTTGGAGGGTTTTTACAATGGAATCTATTTTGATTTAAAAAAGGAGAGGAGAAATGATGCTCCCCTGGGGGATTCCTTCCTCCTGTTGGTGGGGGTCTGAAAGGGAGGATCCGACATGAACCTGGAAGGAACTGTTCTTCAGGAAGTTGCCAATGAAGGCGGGGAGGTGACCGCGTATGCCGAGTGCGTGCAGGTCTCTGAGAATGCCGTACTTCCAGGTTGTGTCAAAGGCTTTTTCTAGGTCGAAAAAGATGGCAATCATGTGGCCTCCTTCAGCAAACGTCTCGCGTATAAAGGTCTCCAGGCGGACTAGGTGATCCAGAGTGGATCGAGTTTTCCTGAATCCGTACTGGAGACCGCTCAGCGAGCCCGTCGTTTCCAGAAACCACATGAGTCGCCTGTGAATAATTTTTTCAATCAGTTTGCAGAGACAGCTCGTTAGAGCTATAGGTCTGTAATTGGATGGGTGTGTGTGGCCTTTTTGGTTTGGGTATTGAAATGACAGTGGCGAGACGCCAAGACTCCGGAAAGGAGTGCGACCGCCACATGTCGTTGTATATGTGTAGTAGGAGTGTGAGTGTTTCTGAGGGTAAGTGTCTAATGATCTTGTTGTGGATGTCATCCGGTCCCGGGGCTGTATCGCCCAGGTCCGAGATGCACGATGTTAGTTCGTCTATTGTGAAGTCTGCGTTGTAAGTTTCAGTGTTGTTTGAGTGGAAGTTTAGGTGTTGTTTTTCTCTGTTAGTTTTGATGTTTTGAAAAGTGGTGTTGTAGTTTGCTTGGGATGAGTTTTTGGCGAGAGATGTAGCTGTTGTGTTTGCGATGTCTACTTGTGTTTCTGCTGTGGTTCCACCCGGCCTCTGGACCTGCCGAATGGTGTCTGTGCGTCTACCCAAGAATTTTTTAGCAATTTTGAAAATTTGGTTGAGTGGTGTCTGGCTGTTGATTTTGGAGATGTACTTTTTGAATGATTGACTTTTGCTCTCACTGAGGCATCTAGGTGCCACAGCTCGAGCCTTTAAATAGTTTATCTTGTTTTCTGTGGTTGTGTTGTTGACGGCTTTTCGATATGCTGCCTTCTTTTTCTTTACTGCATCCTCACATTCCCAAGAGAACCAGATCTTGTTCCTCCGCGGTTTTGTTTTTGTTATGTTTTTTTTTCATATTTCTAAAAGCTTTTCGTGGAATTTATTGTAGTTGAGGTCGAAAGAGGGGTTCAGAATCTGGGAACATTGATTGGCAAACCCGTTCCAGTCTGCTTTTTTGAAGTTGAAGCGTTCTGGGATTGGGTCGTTTTGAAGGCTATTGTTTTTTAGAAGAATTGGGAAATGGTCCGTACGGTCATCCAGCACAGACCACTCAAGATCTGGGACTGGGTCAGGGGTACAAAAGGTGAGGTCAAGGGATGAAGTGCCATAAGTGGCTCTGTTTCTGTAAGTTGGGGACCTATCATTTAAGAGACATGTTATTTTGAAATAAAAAATCTTCTATTATTTTTCCTTTCTGGTCTGTAGGTTTGTCTCCCCAAAGGGGGCAGTGGGCATTAAAATCACCTAGCAAAATAAAGGGTTTTGATAGCTGAGCCTTTAAGTCATTTAGTTGGGTTATTTTGAGGGGGTAATTAGGTGGGATATAAACGGAGCAGATCGTGATTGGTTTGAGCAGGGTGACCCGAACGGCAATAGCTTGGAGGGTTGTCTTGAGATGTACTTGTCTGTGGAGTGTGTTGTTGTCGGTGTAGATGGTGGTACCACCGGAAGCAATCTGGTTCTCCGTGTGAATGTGGTGATACGAAGTAAATCCTCTTAAGTCTATGGTTGAAGCCGGGGCGAATTTTGTTTCTTGTATACAGGCCACATGTGGGCACAGTGTGGCCTGTAAGCGTTGCAATTCTGCAATGGAAATTCCGCCGGCATTCCAATGCAGAACCGCCATTATGACTTTTTAGTTTTTATTTTGGAGCTCAAAGGCCCCGGCTTCGAAGAAACACTCTGACTCCTCCTTGCAGGGGAGGTAGAGTGTTTTCTAGGTTGCCGTCCTGGATTGGACGGCGATCTAGTGGGGGATTTGGAGGAGTGACAGGGGGTCGAAGCTGTCCTCCTTCATAGGCAGGGGTTTGTCTGCTGGAGGGGTAAGGGGGAGGTGGAGCAGATGGAGGGGGCTGGGAGGAGGTGAGAGGGCTCACCTCACACTCCATCAGAGGAATGGGCTTTGTGAGGTGGAAGAAGGACGACGAGAGCACGAGAGAGAGAGAGAGAGAGAGAGAGAAGAGAGAGAGAAAATCTTCTCCATCCTCCCCTAAAACCCCATAGCGGTTAGAAAGTGGCACCTCATAGGGGGTTGCCACAGGGGTAGGAATGACCTTCTTCGACTTTATAGAGACTCGCTTGCCGACTGCGGGCTGTGGGAAGTCGGCAGTAGAGGTTCTGATCGACTTCATGACTGGCCGGAGTACTTTTGCATATGTCCGGCCAGGGACCGGGGTCACGACTGGCGGGCAGACAGCCTTAAGTGCCTCCTGGAAGGAACAGCCATTTCGCGCCTTGTGTTCTTGGATTGCGCGTTCTTAGAGCCAAATCGGGCACTCCTTGCTGAAAGCTGTGTGCTGGCAGTGGCTATTGGGGCAACAAGGACTAGCCTTGCATTCCTTCTCAGGATGCCCGGTCTTGCCACAACGAGGACACAAGGCTGCGTGACAGCACCGTGATTGGCTATGGCCAAACTTCTGACACTTGAAACAACGCAGAGGGTACGGCACATAGGGTCGAACGTCGAGTACCAAGTAAGATGTCCGAACGGTGGCTGGAGGGCGGCACGAATCGAAAGTTAGAATGATCATTTTTTTTTCGAGTGTGGTCTCCCCCTGCCGAAGAGTAATCCGGCGGGCTTCGACCACACTTTCGCAATTAGCCACACTTTCCTCGTTGGAGCAGCCCTTCAGCTCATGGCTGTGGACCACGCCCTTCGATCGGTTGAACTTCTGGTGTCGCTCCGATGCACAAGGAACACCGCTGAAGGTCGTGATTTTTTCCATTTTGGCCAGTTCTTCATCCGATGCGCATTTGATGAGGAGTGCTCCAGAGGACAGTTTCTGGACATTTGTAGGAATGTACCCCAGAACTTGCCTTAGTGCTTCTCCCGTCTTAAACAGGTTAAGATATGTGATTTTCTTCTGCGCATCGGTGCTGTAGATGGTCAAGTACGGCTGCCTCGGAAGCTCCCTGGGAGAAGGGAGAAAAGAGGCAGACATAAAGGTCCTTTTTCCTTTTGAGATAGATGGTTTGCTTGGTCCGGCGGCTGCACCCGTTTCCGCAAACCGAGACTTCTTACCGTTGGGAGCTAGGGAAGGGTCTTTTGTTTGTTTGGAATCCATATGTGTGATGTTGGTTCAGCTCCGGGGCTCCCCACCCGCCATCGAGCCCAACAAGGGGGCACATTGCTCGCATGGCCAGAGCCGTGCCAGGGCTACCCCGGAGTTATACTCTTTCCTTGAGTGTGCAAGACCCTCCCTTCAAGATTGACCCAGGGTCTGAATGGGTTTCAGCTCCCAACCGATTGAGTGGCATGGGCCGTGCCACCCTTCCGTCTAAGAGGAAAACCTGGGCCAAAGAGGTGTGTTGGTGAGGGACAGTCCGTAGACTGATCTCACCTCAACTGCCAGGTGCCCGGTTTCCCTCTGCACGGGTCGCACCTCACGGTCGACAAGGCGCCCACTCTGTGGGATGGGTGACCTCTCTTTTTGCTGCACGCGAGGTCAGCGGTGGGGGAAAAGATAAAAGAAGAAAGAAAGAAGGAAGGAGAAGAGGAAGATACACCAAAGTAGGTGTCGCATCCGGGTCCCAGAGGGTTGGGGTCCATGCATAACACCTCGTTTTTGAAGGGGTTGCACCTCTTGCAAACGAAGCAGTGGGTCTATTTATATCCCCCCGACCCACTGGGGTCACATTAACGTTTTAATCATAAATCTACATAATAATAATAATAATAATAGTAATAATGAAGATCATTTCTATAGCGCCCACTCCCGTGTAAACACAGCTCTAGGCGCTTTACATAAATGCATGTACAAACAATATTCACGCACGCTCGACACATGCACAATACACACACTCATACACACACACACACACATATACACATTCACACACAAACACACACATACACACTCACAAACACATAACACGCACACATGTGCACACACATGTATGCCAAACACACACACACACACACACACACACACACACACACATCTACTTGCTTATCACATGCACACGCTTACACATCGTCACGAAATGAGCATAAAATAATATACACAATGCAATTCACAAAATACATAAATGGATACATAGTCATTTACATAACATTGTATTGAACATGAAACTACTGACATAAAAAGGATGTCATTAAACATAGATGGGATTTATTTTGATAGTTTGTTTTGGTAAGTGTTTTATGGTGCTCACAACTGCATAAGGTCATATAAGTGGCCGGAACTCATTAATTAAGCATTTTCAGTTTGGCAGGACTTAATTTTCAATTTTGCCTGGGTGGTGGCCGAAACCAACTCTTGTCAATTTTAGAACTCCAAGATTTTTTTGCTGTTATCCGGGAAGGCTAGGTGTCCAATCTTAACTCTAAGATCAGACATGGCTGAAGACAGTAGTAAGAAGGAGCCAGGAGTAGAAGTAGACAGTGACAGGGTATCATGCTAGCTAAAGTACGCATGTGTATAGTCTACTCTGGAGATTCTCATACCAAGTATTTGAAATTATGAAATCATTATTACTGCACAATTCTACAAAATGCTCACAGCATTCATTTTGTTACTTTTTCCCTAAGGTCCTTTCTACAGATCATGGACACTTTGTTTGTATTCCCATGTCCCGATCTTCATTGAAATTCTCAATTTTCACACTGTGATGCTCTAGTGTTGGTGTCTCTCGTAGTGGCATCGGTGGTCTAGTGGTTTGGCTACTGGACTAGTAATTGTGAGGTTGCTGGCTCAGGGGTTCGAGCCGCATGCCCGTCGTTGTGTCCTTGGGAAAGGCACTTTACACAAATTTTCCCCACTTCACTCAGGTGGAAATGGGTACCTGGCTATAGACAGCGAAAGATCTTGACAGTGTGTTAGTGTTTTAGCACCTATAAATGGCTGCTTGCACTGTATGCTTCCCAGGAAGTTGAGTTTGTTTCAGAATGCTCTCAAGTCTGCTGGGGTAATAGTACAGATTGTGAAGTGCATAGAGCTTGCTGTTGAGCAGGGATTAGCGCTATACAAATGCTATCTATTATTATCTAATATATATATATATATATATATATATATATATATATATATATATATATATATATGTGTGTGTGTGTGAGGAAGCGTGGTGGAATCAGGCTCTTGTCCAAATAATCAAAGTGAAGAAATGCGCATTTTTTTGCAGGTTTGTGAATTTTTATCAAATTTATGTTTTTTGGCCCAACACCTTTCATGCCCATTAAAGAACCCATTTCTGTGTGGATTTTTCTGCAAAACGTTAATTTAAGGCTAAAAAAATGAACATTTTCAGTTACCATGCACTCTTAAACTAAGGAAATTTAACTAATCTTTGGCGGCCATTTTCTCACTAATTTTACCTCTGAAAACAGGTGACCCCCCACCTCCTTCTTTTGCGATGGACATTTTTTTTCCATCCAAATAAAGACAAGTGAAGAAGCTTTAAGATGATACCAATAACTCTACATGCCCAAAAATTGACGAGAGCCTGATTCCACCATGCTGCCTCACATATTTATATATATTGTACTTCATCTAATTTCAATGTCAAAATGCTTCCCTTTTAGGATATCAGCAAATGTTTTCTTCCATTTGTTCTTAAGCATCCCCCCCCACCCCCAACCAACTGTTACTTTGCAATGTTGTGTTGAGCACTGTTTGCAAAAAATTTTAATTGCAAATAAACGGGTCCTTGTTTTTAGTGTCCGTAATTATACAAGCAAATGAACTAATCCCTTGCTGTTTAGCACCCTCTGCACTCGCAGGTACTGAATCAGCATCAAGCGCTCGCAACACCACTACTGTCATGGTGTCAGATAGAGCTCAGTATTAACGTACCTCAAACTAGTTATCCGCACGCCGCTTAATCCTCTTACTCTGGCTCTTAAGTACTCAAAGATCTGTGGAGCATTCAAAGAAAGTTCATTAGCTGGAATTTTCAAATAGCAGTTTTAAAAAATAAGATTGTTTATGAAATATAATATGCTGCATTAGACTTATTAATCAGTTTATATCTTTTCAAGGTATAACGGCCTGTATATGAAGAAAGAAAAGAATAAACAAATAAAAGAAAAAGGAAGGAAACTCAATTCAGACTCTCTTCTCTCTCTTTATGCCTGGTACTGATGTACAGCATGAGAACAGAGACATGACTTGAATGAAAGGTGAAAGGGCATCTTAAAAGTGCACCCAGTTTAACTGAAATGCTGTGTGAAACCATCACAGGGTGACTGCCAACCCGGCTTCTCAATTTTCCAGGGGGGCTCATCCATTTTCCAGGGGCATGTTACAAAACAATGACAGTATGTGCTCCATTTATGCACACACAGTAACACACACACACACACGCATGTAGGTACATTATATCAAGCCAACAACATGTCAGTGTGGCACTGGGGTACTGTGTGATTTAGGTATTTCAGTCTGTTCTTATTTAATAATATTTAGGCTACATTTTCCCCTCATTATATTCGCCTACATAAACTATATAAAACTGAATCTTGTTTTTAGCCTGAGAAAAGGCCTAGAACCAGAATATCGACTGTCAAGAACCAGTTTGGGTGTCAAGACTTATATACGGAGGGGAATCAAAAAGCAATGCAAGTTATTCGCTATTTTGCGCAATATTGCATCAAATTCTCTGAAATTCAGCTCACAAGCAAGTACTTGCACATGTACTTTTGAACTTAAAGTGTTAAAATATATGTTTCTTTGATGTTTGCCTGAATGACGTCACATCAAAATGGTTGCCCCCTTGGCTGTCTGACAGAGGAAAAGAGGAGTGGATGAATTTCTTGTTTTAGAAGAAGAATCCACTTGTAACATCCAAAAGAGACTACTTTAAAACATTTACAAGGACCAAGCTCTAGGTTTTGGCACAGTATTTCGGTGGGTTACACGTTTGAGCAATGAACCAGAAGAAGAGGAAAAAGGGTCCATATGCTTGGCAGACAAGCATCGTCCCGAAGAATTAGCCGGAAAAAATCATGGCAACCGCAATTTTGGATGTTCATACCGTGTTTCTAGCATATTCTTTTTACCACAAGGAGCAACTGTCAATTTTGAAGCCTACATTGAAATACTGAAACGACTAAAAGTGAAAATTCGACGAGTCAGACCACATTTGACCTTGGTGACAATGCCCGCCTGCAAATGAGTACCAGAACAAGGGAGACAATCATCCCATTTATGTGGAAAACATTGTCACACCCAGCTTATTCTCCTGATTTGGCACCTTCAGACTTCCACCTTTTCAGTCCTAGGAAAGAACAATTGAGAGGTCAACACTACGGATACGATGAGAAATCAAGACTGCTATACCCTGCTCAGTTTGACAAAGCTGGCATTGGTGGACTTAGTAAAACGTGGACAGGGGCTATTAAACGAAATGGAAACTATGTTGAGAAATGGAAATCTGATCCTCAGATTCTCCCCTTCAATTTGAGTAAGATAGTTGCCAGTGCGTTCTTTTTTCCTGAAGTTAAAAACTAACTTGCATTAATCTTTTACTCCCCCTCGTAATAAACGTGAAAGACAAAAATTATTGCTAAAACTCAAAAGTAGAGTAATAACTTAAATGGCTCAAACAAGTAGACATATTCAGTGTGAGAGTTGTAATAAATATAGGAGGGCAAGATGCAGTGACTCTGAAAATCTGCGAATCTTGAACAGAAAGCTAAAATATAGATATACAATACATTATGTACTTTACTATCACCCATCCAATAAAACACGAACCCTTTACAGTCTGTTAAAAAGACACTATTCTAAAAGCCCGTTTTTTTCTGTTCTTTATCTCTGTAAATATAAAATACTGCTATAGCGCACTCAGACAAACACGCGAGTCGGTAATAGTGGAATATTGCTGCTGCTGTGCATAGTGCATAGGCCAATTATACATAATGTAAAACCTCGCCAGTTGAGAAATTTGTTTGTGATCTAGCGAAAAACAAAGAATGGGAAAGCCCACGTGTGTCAACAATGAAGGCCAGAGCGAAGGAGTACGGAGGGTGTGGCATGCGCAGACAAGCAGAACGCATCGCGTGATAGGCTATAGGCCAGCCTTGGCCTAGTCTAGATTATCTACGCCTACCATGCCTCTCACTTCTCAGATGCTGGGCAGGATGGGGAGGTCAAAGCAATGTGATGGATGCAGCGAATGTGTGACGTGGGCAAGCAGATGGAATGCACCACAGGGTGTGGTGGGGTATCAAGTATGACCTAGAGGTCATATTGAAACAAAATCATCATCAGGGGAGAAAACAAAAACAAATAAACAAAACACCAAACTCATAGATCAGGCCTACGTTATTATTTCCCTTGAATTTATTACTGGATTCCTTATAGCGAGAATCCTGCTATAACGGACATTTTGCTCCAGTCATCTCCCTCTCGTTATAACAGGATTTCACTGTAGTTAAAAAACACGGCTTACAAGGTATGAGTATAAAGGACCCGATTTCACACAACGCCAGCACCAACACGCTTTACAGAGAGCTCAAGTAGTACCCAAAAATTTGCTTCCAAGTTCAGTTGTCATCCGGTGTTGCTTTCAACCTCTTCCCTCCCCCGAGTGCATCTTTAAAAAAATAAATAATCCCCATATTCTGGAGTCCTATACTTCACAGCGTTAGACTTTGAATGAACTTTGGTGACCCCAACCATCGCCGGCACTCATACTGTGAGGCAAACGCCCAGGTTCACTGACCGGCAACGATGGCAAGCCCGACAAGAATCTTGTATAACTTTCTTTTCTTTCTTTTTTTTTCACAAGTGACAGCACTGGACAAATATTGATTTAATTTCTAGGCGACAAAGCGTTTGTAATGCAAAACCTGAAGGTTAAAAATGCTGCATTATCTCAGACTGGGAAAAGTCGAACAAATACCAAAATTGTGACCGGCAAAAATGAACCCAAAAACGTTATCGGATTTGGTTTTCAAATCTTCCAGAGCTTTTATGTATTTTCCCGGGTCTTTCCAGGGACAATTTACAGGTTTCCTCAAATTCCAGGGGTATTCCCGGGGCTCAGAGATTTTTTTCAAATTTCCGGGGGATTCTCGGGGCCTGGCAGTCACCCTGCATCTCAAAGAGAACAGCAATCAATACATTTCTGTTCAGCATTTTTAGGATTTAAGCTTGAAAAACTTGTTTAGTACCAAAAAGGATTTAACTATGGGACTGACCTGATTGGTGAGGAATAGTATGTATGCTGGATCACTCTGAAGATCCGGAGACAGTTGAAAGTTTGTCAGTAATATCTGGACAACATTCCTGAGCACAGCTGAGAAATATAAGGCTTAGGTTTTAGTGTATGCTCATTTTCTTTTTTAAATTATCTGTTAAAGCATCCATACATGCTGTAAGTAAAAAAGTTCTACATAATATGCACAAATAAAACAGGCAGAATTGAATTTTCCTTCAGAAAAAGGGGACTGAAAATGGTTCAAATTTGACTTACACTGCGGATGTATAATTCATTATTAAATAATTAATTATAATTGACAATCTTATATTAAAAGGCTGGTCAGTGCATCAAAATCATGTATTTGATAGAAGTAAAATTGCAAAAAAATCCCTGATCTAACAAATTCTACTCAACAATTTTCACCAAACTCTAATGAGGAGCAAGTGATTAGGTATGTTCCCATGTGAATGGTGAGCAAGAAGTGAGATTTCATGTGAAAGTGCAAGAGAACTATCAATGTAGAGCGTTTCAAGTTCAGTACATATTACAGTCAACGTAATCTCTGTAGAGAGTTAAAAATAATGCGCAATAAATTACTATGCATGTATCTGGGGCGGTGCATGTAAGAAGATGGACTTTCACAGCACACCACTGTCAACTCAAATGTTTATTGTTTTGACTTTTTAAATGAAAAAGTTGTAAATAAAACATAATGCATAAATAACTCTAAGCACACACACAAAGAAAAATAATTTATTGATTATTTGTTTTTAACATTGACCCTACTGATGCTTGAGGGTGTGCTTCCTTTCTCCTGCATCACATCACATGCATGCATCGGTGGGAAGGGCAGAACAGCTTGCAGGAGATCCCACTGAGTCCAAGCGCATGAGTCTTGTTGGCTCAAGCAGCAAGCCATTAAAGGGTTATAAGGATGCTAGAAAAACCCATAAGGTTCTTGAAATCTAGTTTTGTAGTAGAATCTAAGCAACATATTACAGGTAACACTCATCCAAAACACTGTACATGATGAAAGAAACAAATTACTCTTGTGCATTCATACAGAGGGGAGAGCGTTGAGGCCTTGGACACAGTGGAGCCGAACGAAAAAAGTGTTTGAAGCCTCCCTGCTCTTCACTATGCACATGCACACACACAATTATACTCATTATTTCACTAACTAACCACACCATCCTGACCTGGTGTAAAGCCAGTCCAGATACGACTTGGAAAAAAAAAAGGTATGAATTTGTTTCTTATGCTCACGTACCAACACAACCAACATCTGGATTGCCACTATAGCCTGAAGCACAGTTGCAGGAGTAAGAACCGACAGTGTTGGTACAGTCGGCATTCAGCCCACAAAGACTGTCCTCACATTCGTCTATATCTGTGAAACAAAGATCAGTAGAGACATTCAAACATTTTGTCGAAGTTCACACTAATCTAGACATGCAACAAAATAAGATTTCCATATTTGTAACACTCTACCACACCTTCACTTTCTTTTCAAGTTTATCTTTCTAATCGGGGAGGGGGAGAGGGATGAAGACAAATTAAAACATAATGTAAAATAAAAGGAACACATTAGTTATGACTTACCACTGATACCATATCCTGACCTGATGTTAAATCAGTCCAATTACAATTTAACCTCCCCCCCAAAAAAACCCAAAAAAACTCCAATAAACAAACAACAAAATCAAAGAAAACAAAACTACAAAACAAACCAATAAAAAAACCATTATGGCCATTTCAGTTAATTTTTCTTTTTATTTCTGAATCTTCACAGAGAGAGACTACATAACTCAACCATACTGACACAAACTTGCCTCATCTATCTTGCATTAATCCATAATTCATTCCTAACCTGGTGAAAACCAGTGTAGGCGTAATGATAAATCAAGAGATTCTATAAAGTACTTTTTTAAAAACTCCACGTACCAGTACAGCCAGCTGTTGGATCACCGTCATAGCCTGTGGCACAGGCACAGGAGTAAGAGCCTTGGGTGTTGGTACAGGTGGCATTCTGTCCACATGGATTGTTGTCACACTCATCAATATCTGTCAAAAGAACAACAGAGACATTCCAGATTTTGTTAAAATTTGCAAGAAACAAATTACTCTTGTGCATTCATACAGAGGGGAGAGCATTGAGGCCTTGGACACGGTGGAGCCGAACGAAAAAAGTGTTTGAAGCCTCCCTGCTCTTCACTATGCACATGCACACACACAATTATACTCATTATTTCACTAACCAACCACACCATCCTGACCTGGTGTAAAGCCAGTCCAGATACGACTTGGAAAA